GAGTCTTCTTACTTGTTTTAAATTGAATTGAAATCGAGGTTCACTAATGAGATTAGCTTGAGAGTTGATTTACCAATAATTTCAAATCGGAATTGAATTTATTGAGTAAGTCAACTATGAGCGACTAGCAGATTCCCTGCGAGCCCTCAGCCGCGCACTCCGAGGATTCGATGCATGTTTTATACATGCAAATAGAAAAGCAATATACACACGCATACACACACACACATGCACAGATAACCACGCTCTCTGTTTACTGCGCAGCTTATGCAGGGAAATTTCATATTGAACAGCTTTTGGCCTTCTTCTTAAATTAAATTTTCCAAGCGTAAGAAGGACATTCATATGAATGCAGTATGTAGTAAATGTTTGTTAAAGCTAAAGCCTCTGGGCTGGGAAAGAAAATGGAAAGTAATTTAATAAACAAATGAGTCAAGTTATAAACAGTCTACTTATATGCACATGGCTTTAGGTTAGGTTTAGATTGTCTTGATAAAAATATAGATAATTTGTATAAGGTCTTGGAACTTATCTTCAATTTCCCCGAGCATTACTCTCCGGCTGACCAATACTGAAATAATAGATACCAGACTATCGCAACTATTGCAAAATCTCCTAACCAAGTATATTCTAATATTATGGATCTACTCTAGCCACTTAGTTGCAAATTATTATAATATTTTATTTTTGCTTACTCAAAACCTAGTTGATAAAAACTAAGTAAAAAAGTTCATCTATAAAGGTTATTTGAATTTACCACTCACAATTCATTATAATGTTTTAAAGAGTGAGTCCTTCCACATTAGTACAAAATGATTATGCCCTGAGTGGATGCATGGTATTAAAGAAATAAATTACGTGCAAAGAGCAGCATTATAAAGAGCTCTAATCATTTATGACTGTTAAGGAACTATGAATAATAGAGGTATACCTAATACATATACTCTTTTAACTGATTACTACGCCGGCATTAGTCGTTAGGTTTATAATCTAAACACTTTATCGGATGAATGTGTGTTTATAGCGTATTTATGGTGTTTAGCATCAACTACAAAGAGTTACTTTCAAAGAAAGAACTATGCTTAAAGACCATGAAGTACTTCGGACAAAACGGTTTCAAAAGCTATTTCATTTTACAAAACAAAAAGGAGGGAAAAGAGAAAAAATCTAGGGTATTATCTAGTTAGCGTTTGACGAGGAGCCCTAGGAACCTGAAAACATTTGCCGCTGAAAACTTTATTCTTCGTTTGATGACATCTATGTCATAACTACTTCGTTATAAAGGTCGTGTGTTATTCTTCGCCTTTGATATTTATAAATACAACTGTAAAAGTCAACAACTGTGTGTGAAATAACTAAAGGTTGCTCTAACATGACAACTGAAGAAAAATCTTTTGTTCATTATTGAAGATGAGCTTGGGAGTTTCCCCTCGGCTGTCGTGCAAATTTGAGCTTTGATTTGATGCAAGCTGCTTATTAAATTAACATTTTTGACTGAGCAATTGCTACGTGTCGACCGGCGTCAGCAGCGACAGCGGCAGCGGCAGAGTCTGAGGCGGCGCTCTGATAAGAACGCAACACCCGATTACACTCTCCAGTCGCGCGGTGTGCGTACGTGGGTCGCCCACGCGAAAGTTTTCAAATGAATGTAAATTGTCAGCTGTGACGTCACTCGGTCAGAGTTATCGATTTTTGTGTGTGTCCAAGCAAGCCTGAAATATTTATATCCTTTCAATTACGGCCCGTGCGTTGGCGTTGGCTTTGCTGACGCTGAACATGACGTTCACAACGCTGCCAGCGTCAACAAGCTGCCTCTGCTCTACAGACATATTCGCTCCGTGCGCTCTCTCTCTCTCGGCTGCCGTTACTCTCCTTGACTAACTTGCGCAGGCGCCTGACTTGCATCTGGCAACGCCGCCCGCACTCCGCAAAAACCCAAACAGCTGTGCGCGAAAAAAAATCAATTCACACGAGCGGCAAATAAACGAAATGAAATACAAGAAAGGAAAATAAAAAACGAGACTGGAAAAATGTAACACAATATCAACTGAAAACTATTAATTTGTGCCTAAACGCAATGCTGTCTCAATAACAACAACTAACACGAGCGCATGTACGAAGCGCTGCGACAACAACACAACTCGTGACCGACTAGCGCGCAAAGCTCTGACGCGCTCTCTGCCGTGTAATTTCCCTACAATTATCGCACATCGTCGCTCTCGAATAGTGTTGGCAGAGGCGGTGGCGGTGGCGGTGGCGACGCTTCGGCGACGTCGACAGCGGCTGCGGCAGCGACAGCGACAGCGGTGGGACAGCGGGCAGCCAGCACGGGCTTAAGGCCAATCAACGCAGCGAATTTTCAAACAGTACATTTTTTGAAGCTGAGCCGAGCCGAGTGGGACTGCTGCATAATAACAACAAATAGGCGCAACACAACAATTGTGACCCAAACGAACGCCGAAGCACGCGGGCTTCGAGCTGTATCTAAAGCGGGCCGCTTCAATTTACAAGCCAGTGATAACTAGCACCGAGCAGAGGCAGCTGAAACACCAGCAGCACCAGCAACACCATTATTAACAGTTCAAGTAACGGTTAAAAGCGGAACATTTGGAGCAATTGGACAAAATGCAGTGGATATTGTTGATTGCTTTAATACCGTTAGCCGTGCAGAGCTACATTATCAAAGAGGACGAGAGCTTCCTGCAGCCGCCGCAGTACACCAGCCAGGAGCAGCTGGAGGATTTGTTTGCACGCCTGGAAAAGGCCTATCCGGAGCAAGCGCGCGTCCACAGTCTTGGCCGTTCCCTGGAAGGACGCAATTTGATAGCCCTTCAAATCTCGCGCAGCGCTCGGCAACGGCCGCTGCTGACGCCACCCGTCAAATATGTGGCCAATATGCATGGAGACGAAACGGTGGGCCGACAGCTGCTAATCTACTTGGCCCAATATCTGTTGGGCAACTACGAGCGCATTTCGGATATTGGCCAACTGGTTAACACGACGGATATTTACCTAATGCCCACCATGAATCCCGACGGTTATGCCCTGTCCCAGGTAGGTGTCAATGCCAACCAACCAACCAGCCAACCAGCCAGCCAGCTACATAGAAAATTTCATTCAAATTGTGGAAAAATCAATATTTGTGAAATTTTATACACTGTGTAGCTCTAGCGGCGTTTGCAGATTTTTTTTTGCTGTTCCCTCCCGGTGCCTACGTTACTATCGCGACGCAATGCCGACGCGCTGCTGTTGCGCACTTACGTTTGGATTGCGTTAGGGCACAATTCTCTCCGCACGCTCAATTATTGTTGACATATTGGGAAAGCTTGTTGCTATGTTGTTGTTTGTTTGTTTATAATAAAACGTTGGGTGGTTAGGCTCTAGTAAACACACGTAAACCAATACCATTGAGAACTGTGTGTATTTATGTATATGTATATGTACATATGTATGTGCTAATGCGTGTGATAGCTTTTTGCTATTGATATTCATTCTTGAATATTCCGCATGCACTGAGTAATTGATAATAGTATCGACGTCATTCGCTGACACTTGGCATCGTAATCTCGGCTAATATTTACGCCCACATACGAAGTGAGCGTGCCATACGTGATGGCTTTTCGGCTATCGATATTCATTTCAGATTCATATTTGCCCAGAATAGCCCATAAGTACTTGCAAAAATTTCCCTCCCCTCGACTGCGCTTTGAATGTTGGTACATTAGATTGCCAGCAGCTACGCAGCATAGAGAATGCAAAAACAAGAAATTCCCCTATCATTATGGCAGGGATTTTTTGCGTTGTTTGCTTTACACTGTTTTCTTTTTTTCGGGTGGGCGCAGAGTTCGTTTGCAACTGGAGTGCGGTACTTTACGTGATCGATCATTGTGACTAACCTACATACATACATATGTAAATATGGAAATGCATAGGCATTTATATAATTTATACATATGTGATATACAAATGTAGGCCTATGTGTATGCATGTGTACATATTTTTGCTTGTTTTATATTCTATCGTTGTTGTTTTGTTCGCTTATTAATGCAATCGGACTGCGCCAATTATCTCTGCCCATCTCGCTCGCACGCTCGGTCGGTCGGTCGCTCATTCACTCATAGGTTAACTGTGCTTTTGCGATTGACTGACGCTCGCTCCAATTAAAAGCTGCGCTAATGTGCTTCTGATTGGAGGATACTGCTTGTTTTCATTTTATTTATGAATTTTTATTTTGCGTTATCGTAACCTGATTTACGCACGCTCTCTCTCTCTCTCGTTCGCTCTCACTGTCATTAATTGGGCATTTTTTATGGAATATGTTGCAAGATCATTTGCGACCACCTGACTGTCATATTAAAGACTAGTTTGGTCAACTCTTTGCGTGACGTGCGCGCGCTCTGAATGCCAAATTGGGCGCATGCCTGTATAAGCACAGGTGCAAGGCGGACAGACGGGCGGGCAGGTGGTTTGTCGACCGTATAATAACTCACATAATCGACAAATTAATGAAGCAATATGCTCACTCTCTCCCTCTCTCTTTCTGTCTCACAGGAGGGCAACTGCGAATCACTGCCAAATTATGTGGGACGCGGCAATGCCGCCGGCGTCGATTTGAATCGTGACTTTCCCGATCGCCTGGACCAACATCATATCAACCAGCTGCGCAGCCAGTCCCGGCAGCCGGAAACAGCCGCCCTCGCCGAATGGATATTGAAGAATCCGTTTGTGCTCTCCGCCAATTTCCATGGCGGCGCCGTTGTCGCCAGTTATCCGTATGACAACTCAATGTGAGTATATAGTGTATATAGCTTATCCGGCTTCAGTTTCTAAATCAAGCAATCAACTAACCTAGCGCCCACAATGATTGCTGCGAGGAGAGCCTCACGCCGGATGATCGCGTGTTCAAGCATCTGGCGCACAGTTACTCGGACAATCATCCGATCATGAGGCGTGGCAACAACTGCAACGACAGCTTCGCCGGCGGCATCACCAACGGGGCCAACTGGTACGAGCTATCGGGCGGCATGCAGGACTTCAATTATGCCTTCACCAATTGCTTTGAGCTGACCATTGAGCTCTCCTGCTGCAAGTATCCGCCGGCGAGCAGCCTGCCGGAGGAGTGGCAGCGCAACAAGCGAGCGCTGCTCCAGCTGCTCAGGCAGGCGCACATTGGCGTCAAGGGCCTGGTGCAGGACACCAGCGGCTATCCCATACCAGACGCCACCATCATTGTATCCGGACTGGAGGACAAGCCCATACGCACCTCGAAGCGCGGCGAATACTGGCGCCTGCTCACGCCTGGCCTCTACAGCATCTATGCGGCTGCCTTTGGGTAAATCAACCGACTTGATACAAAATTGTTGCCCAAACGACTCTAACGACTCTTGTATAACCCATTGTTTATTTATTTTCTGGCTTGCTATGCAGCTATCAATCGAGTGTGCCGCAACAGGTCCATGTCACAAACGAGAACGCCGAGGCGCTGCGACTGGACTTCAAGCTGACGCCCGTTGAGAGCAACTTTGATGGTATTAGCAGTTATTACAATCCATACTTTTTTAGGCATTAAAGCGGGTGCCCAACTGCAACGGCGACAGCCAACAGCAACAGCCAACAGCCAACAACAAACTACAACAACAAGAACAACAAAAGCAACAGCAACAACTTAATGATACCACCAAAATGCACTGCACCAAAACGCATCGGGGTCTATTGCCTAAATTACTAAATAGAAGCCATTGTTAACATTAGCATTTGTAAAATTCTTAAGCAAGTGCACGCTTGCCACGCCCACCCATACGCATACACACACGCACACACATGGATATTTTCCTTTTGTATATTTTGCATTATCATAAAGTATTCGTTGTTGCTTTAACTTTTTCTCATATTTTCGAATTTATTATCTCATGTCTTAGGCATGCTCTCTCACTCATACACTCTCCGCATCTCGCTCGCACTGGTTCCTTGTATAAATATCAATTTGATTTGCACATTTACATAATTATATATATATATATACCATGAATTCAGATCAATCAGAATCGTCTGCCCCCAAATCAGTGCGTGATATAGTTACAAAATCAAACCCAGCCCAATCGAGCCATACAATGGCCTAGACGAGATTTTAAATGCCTGTTGTCTATCTCTCTTTTTCGCTCTCTCCCCACACTCTCCGCTCCTCTGTCTCTCTATTATACACAAATATATATAGACATATGTACACACATATATTACTTAGCCGCTTTTTAGATGCAAGTAAAACGAATATGAATCCAATTATGTAACCGAATTAACCTTATATATATACATATATACGATGACGATATATATATATATATAGATAACCATATATAAACCTCAAATATCTCCTATATATATATATACAAACATATACACGTATATATTTAGACAGCATATGTTAACGCAAGATTGTTAAATGTTTTTTTATTATTCAAGCAACAGAACGTCTGAAATATTGTTAACATACATTTACATATTTGTATTA